ACATGATTTCCCATTGGCTGCAGGTCTGGATCTAAATTTTGGACCAAATAGACATGATTTCCCATTGGCTGCATGTCTGGATCTAAATTTTGGACCAAATAGACATGATTTCCTATTGGCTGCAGGTCTGGATCTAAATTTCGGACCAAATAGACATGATTTCCTATTGGCTGCAGGTCTGGATCTAAAATTTGGACCAAATAGACATGATTTCCTCCCATTGGCTGCAGGTCTTGAAATGGTTCAAATTTCCCATCAAAGTCTAGGAAACACAATTACATTAAGCCCGAGGACTGTCTACAGTCTAATTGTACTTAAACAGTAGATTTTTATTTAATATCAAAAAAAAAAAAAAAAAATACAGCACACTGAGAATCTTCTGATACTGAACTCTTGACTTTTTGATTGCTTCTAAAATTTACAAAATATATGTAGGTGGCCAAGAATCAGAGTATAATCTAATAATTTGCATATTCCTACAATACAACCTATTGTTATGGTAACATATTTATCTACAGAATAACATCAGTTCAACTATGATGGATATATTTGGGTGGAATGGCTAATAACTTGATATTACATTTCTTATTGTATTTATAAATATTTCCGCCAAACATAATTATTAAAATATTCTTGACTGTTAAAATTATAACTATAACATTTTTTTAATTTAAAAATGTATCCGCCATAATTGGCTAATTTATTGTGTATTAACATAATTTAACCAATAAAGAATGGATATTTTTGAGTTCTATACAAGTCAGTTTAAAAAACAGCAATTGTTTTGATTTAAATATAAATTACAAGGTTGTTTTATTATTTTAAACCAGAAATGAGATTCCAGTCGATAAAAAAAAGAGTCAGCAAAGGTGGAACTTCTATCATGTTGCATTGTGGCGCACCAATCATAATTTATTTTATTGTGATAAGCCAGTCCATAACATAACGAGCTATGATAGGTCAGTCCATATAACAAGCTGATAGGCCAGTCCATATAATAAGCTGTGATAGGTCAGTCCATATAACAAGCTGTGATAGGCCAGTCTATATATCAAGCTGTGATAGACCAGTCCATATAACAAGCTGTGATAGGTCAGTCCACATAACAAGCTGTGATAGGCCAGTCATATAACAAGCTGTGATAGGTCAGTCCATATAATAAGCTGTGATAGGTCTGTGATATAACAAGCTGTGATAGGTCAGTCCATATAACAAGCTGTGATAGGTCAGTCCATATAACAAGCTGTGATAGGTCAGTCCATATAACAAGCTGTGATAGGTCAGTCCATATAATAAGCTGTGATAGGTCAGTCCATATAATAAGCTGTGACAGGTCAGTCCATATAACAAGCTGTGATAGACCAGTCCATATAATAAGCTGTGATAGGTCTGTCGATATAACAAGCTGTGATAGGCCAGTCCATATAACAAGCTGTGATAGGTCAGTCCATATAACAAGCTGTGATAGGTCAGTCCATATAACAAGCTGTGATAGGTCTGTCGATATAACAAGCTGTGATAGGCCAGTCCATATAACAAGCTGTGATAGGCCAGTCCATATAACAAGCTGTGATAGACCAGTTCATATAACAAGCTGTGATAGGTCAGTCCATATAACAAGCTGTGATAGGTCTGTCCATATAATAAGCTGTGATAGGTCAGTCCATATAACAAGCTGTGATAGGCCAGTCCATATAACAAGCTGTGATAGGCCAGTCCATATAATAAGCTGTGATAGGTCAGTCCATATAATAAGCTGTGACAGGTCAGTCCATATAACAAGCTGTGATAGACCAGTCCATATAATAAGCTGTGATAGGTCTGTCGATATAACAAGCTGTGATAGGCCAGTCCATATAACAAGCTGTGATAGGTCAGTCCATATAACAAGCTGTGATAGGTCAGTCCATATAACAAGCTGTGATAGACCAGTCCATATAACAAGCTGTGATAGGTCAGTCCATATAACAAGCTGTGATAGGCCAGTCCATATAACAAGCTGTGATAGGTCAGTCCATATAACAAGCTGTGATAGGTCTGTCGATATAATAAGCTATGATAGGTCAGTCCATATAACAAGCTGTGATAGGTCAGTC